ATGTAACACTTCCTCCCCTTTCACAATAAGCAATATAATCTCAAGATTCACCTGTTTTTGACACTTTCATCATTACGCAGAGGAATGGTCTCATCTTCAGCTTCTTCATCATCCTGCATAACCGGTGTATGATCTCCTATTCCTAAATTTTGAAGCCATTCTCTGACCTTCACATTTACGCATCCATAAGAAACACATCAGCATTCCACCACAGATTCAACATGAGTAAAAAGTGCAACAGTTTGATCAAACAAACCAACCTCCTAAAAATAAACTGCAAAAATGCACACCTAAGCAAATGAATCTAAGCATACCTGCTCCTGCTTTTCATGAATTTCCTCAATAAATGCCCTTTTCTTCAACGCAAAATGTAAATAGAATACTTGTGAAGCTTTCTTGACTAACTGCCACTTGAACTGAAGAAAGAATAAGTATTAGTCCAGCAGAATCCAATCAATTACAAACCTCCTAACCTATGGGGGGAAAAACACTATTGGAATATTGAAGCTACCATTCAACCAATTGAAGTATTAATATTTTTTTTAGGTGGAACTGACGGTAACGAAAGGTACCCAAATAGGCTACCAATCTTTTCGTCCCCTGTCACCAATTTTAATTGATAATTGTAGACTACCAAAATTCGCACAATCCATCAAAATTCACATACTGCCCATAATTAAAACCAAATATGTGTAAGGTAACAATAACTGTCACAACAACAATATAACTCCTAAAATTCATTTTCAGTCAAACAACATCCTAAATTAACAACTAAATTTAGTTTAATTACGTCCAAAAACCCAAACTCACTCAATTTCAAATCCGAAAAAGCCCCAGTTTTTACCTCGTCTACAAGAACTCTAAGTTCACCCTTTTGGCGTTCCCTGTCAAAGCCAACACTCCTCACCTCGCTCTGATTCCTAGCTCAGGTATAAATGAACAAACTTCCATTCATATCCAGTTCTCAAAAATCCAAACTTGAGCTGATTCCAGCATCACTCTATAAGCAATCTGTTTATGTTCTAGTCTCTTCTATAAAACTCAAAGTAGCAACTTCTCCATTAAACAAATTTCTACCTGATATATTGAAACAAACAAAAAATAAACTAATAATGGCAGCAAGCGAGGCAAGGTGAAATCATACCTGTTTGTATTGGAATTCGATTGTATAAGTGAGCATAATAGGGCTAATATCGGCAGCATCGGGGCGGGACACCTGAATAATAGTAGCCTTAGGCAACTCATCGAAAATTCGAGCTGACTCGGCTCCGTGATGATGATGAAAGGAGAAGAATGATGACATCATCATCGGCAGCGGCTCCGATTGCACTTGCACGTACCTCGGGCCTCCTCCTCCTCCTCCGCCGCCGGTCACCAAGTGCTCCGTCGACGCCATTCTCTCCGATCACCACTGACGATTTAACAAAAAATACAGAAACACGTGTACAATCGATAACTATGTCAAAAAAAGGAATGACGCAATTAATTTGTTCCGGATAGAGATCAAGAAGAAGATGAAACAAAATTGAGAGAGAGAAATTTGAGAAAAATAAAGGGCTGATTAGAATTTGATTTTTTGGGATGAAATGTGGATTTTCCGTTTGGTAGTTTTCAACTTTTCTTTGTCTTCCGTTACGTGGACTTTGGTGTGTGGTCGGTTGTGGATAGTCCGGCATTTCAGGATCCGGGTAGATTTGAATTGCAGTACAAGTCTCTCGCTCTTTATTTTTTGGGTTAATTACATTTACCTCCCCTGAGGTTTGACCATATTACCAATCAATCCTTGAAATTTATCCAAATAACAGTCTCACCCTTTGAATGATCAAACATTTAACAAAAACCCCCTTAATGCCGAAAATGCCCTTTTTGAGACCATATTGCATTAAAAAAAGAACATATTTTTATTTATTAACCTTTAAGTAATCCAAAAAAATCATCAAAAAGTTTTTGCTTATTATTTTATAAAATTCATATCTTTGCTTCCATAAATAGTTTTGAATCAATAATTATTTTAAATCTTAAAAATAAATATTAAAAATTAGATAAATTGAAAGAAAAATAAAAAGGAAGCAATTATTTTAAATTCTCAAGTATGGTTCGAATTTGTGGTTCAAGATATGTTGCGGAGAGCACAAGGCATGTTTTCCTCAATTTGAACCACACTTCAAGAATTAAAATAATTTCTTCTTTTTTTATTTTTCTTTCAATTTATCTAATTTTTAATATTCATTTTTAAAATTTAAAATAATCATTGATTCAAAACTATTTATGGAAGCAAAGATATGGTTTTTATAAAATAATAAGCAAAAACTTTTTTCTATTTTTTTGGATTGCTTCAGAGTTAATGAAATAAAAATATGTTTTTTTTTTTAATGGAACATGGCATCAATAAGGGCATTTTCGGCATTAAAGAGGTTTTTGTTAAGTGTTTGATCATTCAAAAGGTGAGACCGTTATTTGGACAAATTATAGGGATTGATTGGTAATATGGTCAAATCTCAGGGGAGGTAAATGTAATTAACCCTTATTTTTTTCAAGTCTATGCCTTCTAGTTTTCGTTTTCTGACTCTCTCTCTCTGCTTTTTTTTTTTTTTTTTTGGTGTTTTACAACAATTTTTTTAATGGTTTTGGTTGTGATTAGCCGCTAGCCAGGATAATTACCCCGAGCTTAGCACAATTGTGTGAGTTTTGGCCTTCATTTGGAGATAAAATTCCCAGCACTAGTTTAAATCATCAAAGAGATTAGGAAATAGAAACTATGAGTATGGCTATTTTGTTCAAGTGGAAGTTGGGATAAATGGTCCTTTTCAATTTAGGTTCTAGAACACAAGAAGAAATCTGTGGCTAGTACAGGGTAATTACGGTTTGCTTTGGAGCATATCAGCAGATGAGCTATTGTTTATACTTGACTAATGGTCATTAGGATGCAAAAGCCTAAACCATTTCTTGTTTTGAGTTTTGACTGGTAGATTTTGCTATTGTGACCCAGATAAACCAACTTAATTCAACGCAACTTAATCAATACTTATATAAATAAAAATTGTGAGTCAATTGATGCTTTCGAATTTATTTGCATTAGAATTTAGAAATTGGCCTAGGTCTCCTTGATCGCATGCTTCGTCCCTTAGGAACTGACGTAAGTGTCAAGTTTGGACCACTACTAATATGCCAGGTATTTCTAGAGAATAGAGAGAGTTAATTCTAATCTGATTAGAAGAAATGTGGCAAAAAAAGAAACAAAAAAAAAAAAAAAACCAACGAATTGAAGGAAGACATAAATTCCAAATGTTTGGATAGGAGATTATTTGGGATAAATTTTTAAAGAATATGCTGTGACATTTTTTTGACATGATATACAGTGAGATAAAAAGATGATTAAAAAATCAGTTGATGACACAAATAAATCAATGGATGTAAATAAGGTGCAATCAAAACCATTTATTAGATATTGGATCATTTAATCCATGATGATCTATTTACATAAAACCAATTATCATCCATATATCAGTCTCTAAGCAAAGGCAGGAAAAATGAAGACATAAAGCAACCAAGACCAAGAGGGCTACAAATGCTGGACTCATTCTCTAATAATAAGTACTACTACAAACTGAATGGTACTGAATACCATGGAGATGTTTAAGCAGTTAAGAATTACGTATTTTTTAATACCTAATAACAACTATACCAAGCGCCTTTTTGTTGCATCCAAAAAATTGGTAAAGTTATTGTGGCCTGTAAATGCACTAACAGTTTGGGCCCAAAGCAAAGCCTGCAGATCTAGACGGTTGCTGCCTTGTTTATTTCAATCCAGTTTGGATATCTTCCATCGATTTGTACTTGTTGGGCTTCGAAATCTTTTCCAATCGATTCTGGATTTATTAGTTCCTTTAATAAATATGGCGGGTTGTTATCGGGGACTAACAAATAGTAGCAGTAGATAACTTTATGGATTAATTAATAATTGAGCTCACCCACCATAATAAAGTCTTTGGATATCAAATCAGGCACAAGGAGCTTTTCACCAAAATGTTCAAATACATACCTGACCTCACTTGATTTTGTCTGCCTCAGGAGTTAGCCTAAACTTGACTTCAACAATAAAAGCTTATTATTATATTCGGTGAATTATTAAAGATTTGACTCATCCATCCAAATTCCACCTTCCATTCGCTTGCAAATTGCAATGCAACCTTTTTATACGATGATAAACTAGTCTAAACCCTATACATGACAAACCAATTTTCAGGAAAACCACTAAAAAGAAAGGTCCAATCATTTTGCCTATTTTGACCCTTTCACTTCTCATCCCACTCCTCTCTTTTCTATATTTTCCAATGGAATGGTAAGACAACCGTTTGCTTATTATATGCATGAAATGAATTGGCAAAGACAAGCCCATCCTGAGGTGCTGCTGTGTTCGATTCGCCCCTCCTACCGTCTTGTATATCTTGGAAGCAGGGTGCACAGGTACAAAAAGAGATTAATTGATAAAAAAATCGAGATATTTTCTGTATCAAAAAAAAAAATTTGACAAAGACAAAAGCTATGATAAACTAATCTAAACTCTATCATTTTGCGCATTGTACATGATCTTCAAGGAATTTGTTACTACTTTTAAAATACTACTAGATAGACTAGTAGGTCACTAGAACTGGAGTAAGATCTTTACATAAATGTCAAAAAAAATTGCATTGGAAATTTGGAAGAAATACTAACGTACTAACCAACCGTGGCGTAGGCGTAGAGGAAAAATCTTTCAATGCCACACGTTTATTCAAGAAAAAAAAAAAGAATCAAGGGTTATGTTACCTGAGTAAAGCGCGGACCTATGTGGGCGCCCCTTGAAAATTCACCCCAAAAAAAAAAAAAAAGACAAAATAAATACTTACTATTCCCTTCCCTTCCCTCCTCCCATTGCCCCGGAAAATCTTCGCTGCCCAAAATCCCTAACCCTAGCTGAAAATTTACTCCCGCTTCTCAAACCCTCATTCAATTTCCCGATGGAAATCTCTGTCATCTCCGATGCATTAACGTCAGTGGCCTCAACCCAAGGTTTAAGCTTAGGGGTTTCAAAGCTCAACTTCTGTTCAAATCAGTCTTCTGAACAATCCGCCGGAATTCTTCAAATCTCCGCCATGATTTTTCCTCTCGATGCTGTTGCACCACCGCCGGTGAAGTCGAATCGGACAAGAACTTTACCGCGTAGACTGATCAAGAAAAGGCGTCGTACCAGAAGAAGATCTTCAACCGGTGATGATGATAATGATGATCCGGAAGAAGTTTTCGGGTTTTTTGGCGGCGACGGAGGAGTTTTTGATGGGCCGTTTAATAATGGTGGCGGCGGCGGCGGTAGTTGGAATTTTGGTGGGTTTGGAGGGGCAAATTGGGAAGGGTACTCATCCAACTCGTATAATGATCCAGCGTTCGATTTTGTTTACGAGGTGTTGTCGTGGATTGTTTTATCGAATTGTTTGCATTTTGCGTTTAAGAAGGTTGTGAGGATTGTGGCTGATGTATTTGGTGATCCTGCTAGGGAGAAGGTCCCGATGAGATTGGAACCTGTTTGCTGAATTGGTAAAAGAAATTGACTCCCCGATGCAAAGATAAACTCTTTACTCTGATACACATAATTTAGGATTTGATTATATGTTCTTCGGGAAAAAAATTATGTAAATAAGTGGACAGTACATTTAGGACTATGCTTCTTAAGTTCGCCATTGCATTTACCTTTTTATTGTTTATCAGCGTAAATAATGTAAATATTCATCGATGGATGTCTGGCTGATTTTCAATTTGCTTTACTCTATATGATTCTTCTATCCACGGACTGATATAGTTGCGTTGCATGGATTGCGTGTTTGTGATACTTCTGTTATACGTTCTGTGATGATTGTTGTGGAGATGTGTTCCCCTTCCATCATACAAGTCTGTGAGCAAAGATTTGAGTTGTCTTGACAAATAAATAAAAGTGTAAGCTGGAGATTTTTTATGCTACTTGACTTGCAATGCTGGATATGGTAAGGGTAGCACAATCAATTACTCCTAAAAATTTTTTTGCTCTTGCATTTTAAAGATTTGCTTGGCCTTAAAGATGTATCTTTTTCTTTGTGATTCTTGATTATCGTAGACTTCACATCTCCCCTTCAAAAATGATTTCCCTCCCTATATCCCTGCCTTTCAATGTGGTCTACGTTGTGTATTCTGGGCCTGTTGAATGGCAAGATCGAGTCTTTGAGCATGGTATGTTGCTGTATTGTTGTTTGGGAGTTCATAGGATAGTTATTACTTCCATGTGTGCGTGTCTGAAGCCTGTGATCACCTGTTTCATTTCTGGTTTACCAACTACAAATATTGTAACTAATGAGAGCCAAAGAGGCCGTATTTCTTTCTGGTTTGAGGGCCAGAAATGTTGTAACTAGTAAGATCCAAAAGGAGCATTTGGTGGTTTTATCTTCTTCAGAAGTAAGAAACCAGTAATTAGGTTGGCCCCTTTGGGTAGTCAAATCTCCTATTACTGCCAGAAATTACGAACTTTCTTTTGATGTCCCTGCCCTTAACTTATTATGTTTAAGATCTTACGACAATGAAGTTAGTGAATATCGATCATATGCCTTGTGAAGTGCTATATTTACATTTTCTTGCAAAGGAACATCCAATGGTCTCTCTTTTACTGACTTAGAGGCCTTGAATACCATAATAATTGGGATTTGCCTAGGGCAAATTTCAGATTCCTTATTTTATTTGAAGTCAGGCTGATTGATCGAAGCATGAGTGCCTTTCTTTTGGGGGTTTTGTTCACGGCCTCTGAACCAATTTAGTATGATTGCAATTTTTTTTTTCTTCTTTTGGTGCTTGTCCTTGCATTGACTGTTGAGTCAACTGGCTACCTCCTCGTGTAATTTCTCTAGCACAATCGCTGTTGCAATTTTTTGTAGTTTCTTTAGTATTTTACTATTAAAATGAAGACTAACAGAAGGTTCGGAGGCATGTGCCTGAAAGACTGTTTGTTCCCCAGCAGGTTGGTTGGTAAATTCTTGACATGCTGTAAGGTTAAACCAATCTACGGTGGATGCAGCATGCAATGGACCTAACTTATCCATGACTTCATACCACACTTTTCTACTTTCTACGCCATTTATCTTTTACGATGGGGGAACTAGGTAGCAAACTGTCAAGGAACATAGATGGCAGTTTGAAAAAGCCCCACGCATATGTCCCATTTAGATTTGAAGTGACACAATCAGCACTTGGTTCATGCATCTTCTTAGTCACTTTCGATCGACTAACTATTCCTAGTAAAATCACAATTACACATAAAACACTGGATAAATTATTTTAGTACCCCGAGTCTCTATCTGCCGACGTACGGCTGTCTGTCTGGTCTGTGGTTTATTCCTTTCTCTTCTTCTTGGATATGGATCTTTCTCACTACTTTGTGTCTCTTCTATCTCCTGTTCCAGTAATATTCGATTTTGAACTGCTAGATGTGGCAGTAAACATCATGGCATTGTTCATCTGTTTCGTAGAAAAGGGGAAAAGATGTTACCGGAAATGTGCAGAAAATTTCAAAGAGTGCCCAAATAGTTGTTGGTCCCATTCAGCGTTTACTCCTCCTTTCCGGAGCATTTTCCTGGGTAACTTCCTAAGTACCTTGTAGGTGATACGGCTGCTTTGTACATAACAGCTCTTCCCTCTAATACCCGAACATAAAAGTCCTGTGCCAAAATAAACAGGCATAGGATGGACTCTGAGAACGAGATGAATGCTGGAATTATGTACGAAGCTTCTTCTTCAAATTGCGTTGGATAGAATTTCAAGAATGCGGGTGATTATCCAGCTGAAAACAAACTCTATCGTACTTTAATTTGATCGCCGAAGTATTTTGCGATTTTTTTCTGTTAAAATCAGTAGTAAATTGCACTAACTTGTGTGATATAAACTGAAAAGTCAAATTCCAAAAAGTTTAAGGACATTTTTTTCCCCAGCACACCACCCTAGGTAACTTGCCAAACAATTTATCTTTTTACCAGAAAAGACCATTCCAAACTGGTATCAAGCACCTTTTGTTTTCGAAACAAACGAGTAAACATGAAAATCCATTCGGGACTCCTGTCAAATTAGCGATCGATGCACGCTTGATGCGTGTGTAATGAATGTAGAATCCTTCGTTTGAGATAACGAATGTAGAATCCTTCGTTTGACAACAAAATTTAAAAGTAGTAAATTTAAAAAGTTATTGCAACAAAATATGATAACAATCAAACAAAAAAATTAAAAGAAGCAATCACACGCAGTGATTGACTAATGAATCTTTTAAGAAGTGGAAAATTTTGTTCTAAATGTACTCTCATATTGAGATGGAACTCCACAATCATCTAGAGGATATTGTATTCAACAATTGAAAAGCATCAAAATCTTATGGCAAGAGATAGAAAAAAAGAAGAAGAAGTTTCGCACAAAGGAGATGTAAAAGAAGTTATTTATGTGATTTTGATTTGTAGTTAGGTGGTGGGGGTATTTCATTGTGTGATGTTAGTGGTTAGTTAGAGTGGGATTAGTGATGAGTAGCTATTTTCTTGATAAAGGTAATATGTACATGTATAAGAGAGAGGAGAGTTGAGTTGAATGATAAAGAAGGAGAGATTTTTAGTAAGAGATTCTGAATCCAAAATCTCCTACTTAAAAAAAATAAAAAAGAGAATATATACACGTCACAAAAGACTAATCTAATTTTCAAATGGTTCAAATCAACTTTGCATTTCAATGTAGGCTCCGTATGTCTTGACTTGGAGGTGGTTCAGTATTTTCCGAGTCTCCAGTAACAACGAAGTCGGGTCTATCTTTTCTTCGTAGTAGTATAGGAGTAGTCGTAAGCAAATATCTATTATGTTTGTCAAAAAAAGAAAAAAAAACAGAGAAAACACCTGTGTGTGCAACGTTTTCCCGTCATAGAATGTAGAATAGTCAATAATGTTTCAAATGCGCGGACTACCGAATCCAGCCACAGTAAAAGTTGGTGTGCACTATACAGTTGACCCCTTAATTATTGAGGTCTGAATCCTTCTCTCTACCACTACCAGAAGAAAGGGTTCACGAGATTGAGGTGCGATTTTTCATATATATATATAGGTTGGAATTCAAGACAATCTAAGATTTGACGTTTCTTGGGTGTTTTTTGTACTCTTGTCACCGTAGCATTTGCGAAATTTGGTTGAAGATTTGAAAACGTGCAGGCTGCAGCTTAGAAAGGAGACATTTTGGCGATTATCCGACGTGAAAAAACAGTGCGGACAAAAAATACTTTGATACGTTCGGTGCTCTTTTCAGCGTTTCCCCTTGACAAATGACTGACTTATTTTGTATGTAAAAGGGGTTCCAGTCTTACAATCTTAAAGGGGATTCCAATCACCATATGTAAGGATTATTTCCTTTCTTTATACAGTCATCACTGCACTAATACTGGAGGTGGCAAAATGGGCGGGATGGGCGGGATTTGCTTGGGTTTGAGATGGAACCGAGTCATATGGGTTTGGGTCCAACCTTACCCATATGTGTTTTGGGACTAACTTGGGCGGGATCATTTTGGGATGGGTTTAGATTGTATATAATTTTAATATTTTTGATTTATTAAATTTCTTTTAGTTTTATTAAATAAACATGCAAGTGCTTTATACTCAAGATTCCCACCAAAAATTGGATTAACAAATAAAGGAAAAGATAGATATACAGCCATATTCCAACATATATCAAGATGGCCAAGGTCCTTAGGATGTTGAATATTTATCCTCATCATTGTCCAAGGATGACAGGTCTAAACTAACTGAAATGCTGGAAATTCTTGTGGATAATGACTAGGAAGACTACTAGATTATATTCGCTGGTATGACTATAAAAATTGTTAAAGATAATTTTTGAATCTAAGACTCCGTTTGGATTGACTATTTTTTCAAAAAATAAGTTTTTCAAATACAATGTTACAGTAATATACAATAACTCAAGAAACATCCCATCCATATTAGTATATCAAATATTTCAAAAAAATTTTATAGTAAAAATTTTTCATATACACGGCTACAATAAAATATTTCAAAAACACCTACCAAAAATAGCTAATCCAAACGGAGCCCTTGCCATTTGAGCCCAATGGGTACCCAAGTATTTCCCATCCTTTCCCATTCATTAATGGGTATAGTTGGGATGTGTCCCAACTTAAACCCAATACCAAATTATAATACCCATCCCGCCCAAAGTTCCTTTGGGCATGGGTAGCCCATTGGGACTTGGGACAAATTGCCAGCCTCTCAACTAATACGTACTGACTTGGAGTACATGGTGTATTACGCAAGTCAATTGTAAGCAAACATTATCTTATTTAGTTAAGAAATGGGTGATTCAAGGAAAACAATTATACTACTAATACGTTGTTAACTCCTAAATAATCTGGCCCACGCTCAACCAAGCCCCACAAGTAGCGGGATGTATTAATTGTCAGTAAACGGGTTGATGTTTAAAAGCCGGAAATTCTCTCCGTCAAATAGCTGACCTCATCATCCTCTGTGCCCCCCCCACTGGCACAGTGCTTAATTACGAAAAGGTGTCTTGATTGGATGAATGGAACAGCATCATTACCAATCAGACATTATTAATTAGCCAAATGCAGAATACGACACAAATTTTTTGCAATGAAGTATTTCTTCTAATCATACCGTGATAGTAACGTAGTAATACTACCCTTGCTGGCTAATTAATTGATGCCAAAGCATTATTATTATTATTATTATTATAGTGTACCATGATATTGACACCATCCACAGAATGCAGTAAAAATTATCCCACATCAGGCAGTAAAAGTCTGAAAGTACACGCAAAAGACAAAACAGGAGAGAAAAACACGCAGTTTCTAATCTAGATAGTCTATGGTAAAATTTCACTTAATACAGCAGATTATTAGGCTGCTGGGCTGTAGCAACAAGATCGTCCATCATCCAGAGATCAACCGGGTCCGATTCAGTGATCCCACCAAACTGAGATGTTGCTGTGGTGGTCGTCTCAGGTTCTAAGCCCAGGAAAGATTCCAAGCTGGAAAATTGATCCCCATACTGATAATCTTGATCAGTCACTTGGGACGGATAGTAAGGCTGGGGTTGGAAGCCAGGGTCCACTACTGGCGGGGTTGGTCCAATTGACTCCAAGATCTCCTGATCAGGCTGAGGATAATAAGCCGGCGGTGGCTCAGGGGTGACACAACGCCGCTTGGCCAGTGGCTGCCGAGGTGGTGTCGGCTGTGATGGGGTGGTTGGTGGCGGCTGATCATCAGCAACAAAGTTGAGTTTAGCCTTGTCGCCCCGGATGCGCTTGGCTGCCTTGTCATAAGCCCTGGCTGCTTCTTCAGCTGTGTTGAATGTGCCGAGCCAAACTCTAACGCCCTTTTGTGGATCGCGAATCTCAGCTGCCCATTTTCCCCATGGCCTCTGTCTGATCCCTCTGTACTTGTTCTTCCTAGGCTTCTGACTGATCTTCTCAGACTTCTGATTACCTGCTCCTACACTTCCAAAAAAATCACTTCTTCTTGCTAATACTACATCAATAATCATTCAAGTTCAACAAATTCTTTCAAGTTGTTGTGTTGTAGCATGAAAAATTGATCTACTATGTACACGTACATATGTCAATCTCAGAATTACCTATGCATAATACATACATGCAGCTACACCGTATCAAAATATATAGGTGGATATAATATAGTAATACTTTGTACGTATGGATTTGTGAAAACCCTGATGGAGTTGTTACGGTAAAGAAATACTTATTAGTAAATATGTTTAGAGCCATCCTAAATAGTAAATACGCAGTCCCTAAGAAAGTAGATAATAATATAATTGGAAACTAAAAGCCTATTATATGTAAGCTTGCTGAAGTATGCATACATACATATCAAAATATAGGAGCGTCCAAGTATGCAGTAGATGTATTTACATGTACGTATGAATCATCAACATAAATCATTTTCTGAGCGCGCAATTAATTAGGTCGTCATACAACTATTATACTTTATTATTGGAGTATTATTATTATTTTTTTGGTAATTTATCCAAAAATGGCAAAAAAGTACATAAAGGTAGCAAGTGGTAGTAATAAACCAAGATGAATGATAGTATCAGCAGAAAATTCAAAGATATGTAAGCTAGTGGCAGTAGATTGTGTTCAGGTAATGGGGGGTGAGTGGACCGACCTTTCTTTGGGTGCTTGTTCTTGTCAGTGGCCTTGGTATCTGCAGCCTGGCCAGAAGGGTCGAAGCCCCAGAAGGGAGAGATGGTGTCAAACTCAGCCCACAGTTCTTTTGGGGTTAACTTCCGGCCGGGGTTGATCGGAGACCCCCCGGAAATGATTGCACCTCCACACATCTTTCTTTTTTTTTGTTGGTTGTTCTTGTTGTCTGGCAGAAGAAGATGGTAGGAAAAAAGTTTTCAGAGAAAACTGAAGAGGAGGAGGAAATGAAATGAAAAAGGAGGAATAAATAGAGCAGAGAGAGAGAGAGAGAGAGAGAAGGAGAAGCGTTACGTATTGAGGGTCTTAGTGTTGTGTTTTGTTACGTGATTTTACGAAAGAGGGGACGGTTACGAATCAATAATCAAAGGGAAAATGACAAGTGAGGAGAGCTGAACCCAGACTTTGTTTTTATTCGGATTGTATATTTTATTTATATACATATATGGGATCAAACGGTGGAGAGAGGGCCCATCCATTTGATGTTGATGATGTGATGTAACGTAACGGGGAAATTTTCTTTTATTTTTTTTTGTGGGTCCAGATGAGATGAGATGTGTGATGAAATTATGCACATCAAATCAGTATTGAGATTTTTGCAAGTTGGCAAGGAAATTTGGGTAAATTTGAGCTACCGTATTTCGGTGCTCAAAACTCTGATTTTCATTCCGCTTACTTTATTTTAAATCTTGTTTATAACTCTAATTGAGTTCCAAATTTCAAAGGCTGGTTCGCAATGGGTGCGGTTTCTGCAATTGGGCTATTTTAAAAGATATACTGACAAAATAAATAAATGTAAATATTAATGCATTATAGCATGTAAAAAAAAAAACAACAACTTTAGAATTATTTTGTTACAATTAATTTCATCTTTCAAATTTATATTGAGCACATCTGGGTTATTTTTTTTTTCAGACAAAAAACACATCTGGATTATTAATTGCAATTGCTTTGCCTATCGCATAGAACCCATCCTTGCAAGAGGGTGTGGGATGTTGGTCCCAACCCTCCTTCCCGATTTGGATACGTCAAATTATGAGAGGTCTTTTTTAACAATAAAATTAGGAGATTTTTTTCTGAAATAATAAAAATGTGATATTAAATGAGTTGATTCCTGGTACATAGTACTAATACTAGTTTATTTTCTTTGGATTTTAGACCATATGAAAGAAAGCATTGCCACTATAATATAAATAATAATCACATCAGAAAATTCTGCCCCCCAAAAAAAGGCATTAAAAGAAAGATGACAATCGAAGATTATATCCCAAAAAAGGAAAAAAAAAAAGAGAGTAAAGATACACTATTACTGTCTCAGAAAGAACCAATAATGTCGACATAGTGGCACCAACCTAAAAGCCACACGCAGTCGAAGGCCCCAAAAAACTTGCTTTTGGGCTGACCCATCTCGTTTTCCACAAATATTTTCTTGACACATTTCTTAATTACTTCACATGCATCACGGTATATTTTTTTTCCTCAAAAAACTTACAATCCAAACGGGTTATCATCTAATAAGCATTAATTAAAGTTTAAATGGATTTAGGAGACAAATAATGAAGTATATTATGATTTGTCCATCAATAATTCCGTTTCTTTCTTGTCAAAAAAAAATAAAAATGCATTAGTAGAACTCAGAAAACAGATCAACAAGGCGCATTTCTCTTATCCCACCAAGGGCAAGGGCTAGTTTACTTCGGGAAATATAATAATATGACATCAACTGCATGTAGCAGTGCCGCAAAAGGGCAAACTTCACGAGGCACAGCGCATCAGACTAAATGGCTTTTAGGGAGCGGGGGTTAGACTGCTGAGACTTGTCTCGAACAGAAAGAAACGCTTCTTTTGTTATTGCCTCCCAACATTTTCTATGCCTTCTTCTGAAGAAACAGCCCAAAAGTTCCACATCATCCGTGGGAAACCGTTCCTTAAGAGGAGGCCAAGGTTATGTCATTCACAACCCTACAAGCTTCCAATGCAATAATCTTCCCAAACAAAACATATGATATGATAATACCCAACAACTATCACTCCAATAATTTCGTTGATCTCTGATTGCATCTGGGGTCTGGCAAACTTAGCATAAGCAGAAGACAAGAATACGTTGTCGTGCCATGCTCCATAGGCAAAGCCCTGGGAGTTTTGAGGGGAAACTTAAGACCTGATCCCTTGCTCACAAGTCACAATAACACAACACTGTGAGGATCTTATACCATCAATTTACTCGGTCACCGTGGAATTTAGTACTCACCCTTTCGTATAAAACCTACATGAAGATATCAATGAATGTATAGCATAAATTTTCCATGAAACAATATAATATTTTGTTCCTCATTCATCATCTCAGCCTCAATCTAATGAAACATGTGTGTTATACATGACTATAAAATATCACCTATAATGGGTGTAGACCCAATCAACCAAACAAAAGCAATCTTTTAGCAGACTAACATATATAATCTCTCCAACAAATCGCATTAAGTGGGAAATTATCAAATGTAAAGCGCAGTTGTACACCAAAGGCCACAGAGACAACATCTGCAAGCTCGTCTAGTCAGCCATTTTGGTTAACCGATGAATGGTACTTCTTGCAACCCTATTACCAGGATCAATTCTCATAACACTTCTGAGGTCTTCAGCTCCAAGCTTGTACTTCTCCATACTCTCGTACAAAAGAGCACGTTGCACCAAGATGTTCACATTTTTGTCATCTTGTTCTAGCGCCTGCACAATCCAATGGCCAAAAAGTCTCTTACTTGGAGTGAACCGCAAAAACTCCTCAGCACGATATTAAAAGATCAAACAAGAACCAGCATATTTATTCACCAGCCCCAATTAATATTCAAAAAAAAAAAAACGAAAAAGAACAAACAGAAAGATGCATCAGTGTCCCGTGGATTTTCATTACCTTCCTGCAGATGCTCCCAGAAAACACCACCTACATTTTTGTCAGCATAAACCAGGGGAAGAAGGAATAGTATCTTAAATTACAGGTTTTCTCTAAGTGGCTATGCCAACTGCATACTATTTCCATAAACTGCAAATACAGATCTCGTGAAGGGACATCAACTTATACAGGAAGCACAAAGTGTAGAAAGAAAGGTTCAACAAAACTTTGACCTGGTCTGAAGCCTATACCTAAGTAGCTTGCTCGTACATCCCCTCCCCCCGCCCCCAAAAAAACCAAAGAAAAAAAACCCCGAAAATCCCCAACAAAAGGTATCATGCATAGATGTAAACAGAATGGATCCACGCGGCTAGTTAGGCAAGGTGATCTCAATAGCAACAATAATAATTAATAAATACAAAGGAAAGGGGCCTTAAATAGTTTCCATTTCAATAATGTGAGACACAAGGGTGTTATAATAGCAGTATCGTTTTCCAAAGGCTCTCAATGCCCCGTTCAAGCCCTTGACCAACCTCTAAACTGTTCACTAAAAGGTCTTGACTGTAGTTTGATCCATGCTGATCAAGTATGAAACTTTAAATTTAGTCATGGAAAGACCGACTAAAACTTCCTAGAAAAATACCTGACAAGTCTCTTTATAAAACAGTTTTCATACTGTAGCAACTTGGGACTAAATATACAATTCTTGATCCAATTAACTAGTCCTCCAATATATCGGGGAGCTAGTCTATGAAAGAGGGATGGTTCAACTCTAACTTGCACAAGTAGTTTCTTTAGCAGTTGAAGTGCCATGCCAACATTTAAGTATGTCACAGAAACAAGAGCTGCTACCCCTATACTCACATAAAATAAAAATTCTTGAAGTTATCTGCCAGATAAAACGCAAAATTCACCAGTTACTTGACGAAGTTCAGTGCTCAGACTAGCTATATTTTGGGAAGGTGCAATTACAGGGCTAGTTATTTTGGCACAGCAATTCAACCTGGAAAAGCACCGAAAATCATGAAAAAATGATTTTGAAGAAAAATAATATACCTTTGTGCAATCAGCTACAGCTTTCTTATATTCACCAACTTCTTTGTAACATGCAGCTCTGCATGTCAAGACGTCCATGATGCCAGTATCATCTCCAGCTTTCTCCAAAAGAACGACGGTCCAAGACAACCATTTTATGGCGTCAGCAAACTGGCCCTGCTTGTAATTGTCTAATCCCTTATTTTTCGCAGTTGAAGCACTAACACCAGCAGGTGGGGGTGGAAGTCCTTCAAGTTCGGTTGTCCCACCTGTGTCATGGCCATTGAAGTCCGATTCGAATCCCCAGTCATCGCGCCCAGAAGAATCCTGGCTTTTAAATTCAGCACCGCTGCCTGGAGTTGTCGTAAACAATGCATCAAAACTATCAACACCAGTGGACTGACCAGATGGTCGACTATGAGGCTGACTACTAGGGAACCCAAAATCATCAATATTCGAAAAAGAACCTCCTGCACCTGGCCCAGCAGTATTATGGTTCCCCGAAGGAAAACTACTTGGCTGACTCTGGGACGGAGTACTAAAGAACCCAAAATCGTCAACATTTGAATAAGAACCTCCTGCACCTGATCCTGTCGAGTTGCTTTTTCCTGAGGTAAAACTACCTGAAGGATGTGCAACTCCACTTGTTTTTGAAGCACTCTGAAAACTTTGAAATGCATCATCTCCAACTTTACTACTAGCACTTCCTTTACTCTCTGACTTCATATTACCACTCGGTTTAGACGAAAAATCAACTAAGGAACCAAACGGGTCCTTATTTGAACCCATCCCACCCAATCCTCCACCTCCAGCCATACTCTTCACAGAAGGACCACCAAGATTTGTTCCTTTACTAGCATTCCCATTCAAGTTAACATTCCCTCTATCACTGTTGTTACTGCTAAATCCACTCGTATAAGTCCCGAAAGTTTCACTAGACCCCCAATTTCCGCTACTTTTTGTTGAATTACCCGTTTTGGGCAATGAATCCGCCATACCCCCCATTGAAAATGAGCTCTTATTCGACGCCGGAGCTGCATTTTTCAAAGGCACATTACTATTGCCCTTGTTCTGACCCAATGCCGAGCCAAGCAAATCACCAAACAAGTTGGGATCTTTGTTAACAACTCCACTCCCAGAATTCAAACTGCTAGCTGGGGCAGATGAACCCCAACTCTTCCCAAAAATATCCCCCACCATCGAAGTGGGACCCGATAGAGATCCTGTCCCAGCTGATTGAGCCGGAGCAGCTGGTTGGTGGGTCCATGAGGGTTTGTTAATAGGCTGGTGAGTCCAGGACGGCGTCGTACTGGGCTTTGCCTGAGCCGATGAATATGAACCATATGAAGAAGTCTGGTTCTTTTGATCGTTAAGAGATCGAGAACCCGACTTTCCAAGACCCAAATCGAAGTCGAAACTATTTAAGGATCCCGATTTGCTATTGGATTTTCCGTAGTTTGAATTCATTTTCCTCCTCTAGATGTGAATTATGTTTAGGAAGTTTGGGCTAATCAAATTAAAGCCAGATAAAAAATCGAAAACTAAACGTAGATGATCCGAAAATATAGATCAAACAACGAACTACTAAAAGAAAGAAAGAAAGAAGGGATCTCGGATGGGTTCAGTATATACCTGATGGAGTTAAAATTGGAATTTGCAGAGAGGTTAAAGAAAAGCTTGGACCGCGTAAGGCTGAAAGGAGCTCAGAGCCACCGCTGGAGAGAAACCAAGTCGGGGGGAATAAGAAATGCGACGGGACCGCGAGTTGGAGCAGGAGCTGGCTAATTATTTGTCATGTTTGATCCGGTTTACCAATTTAGCGACTGAGGCAAATTTTTTAAAATTTGCAAATCCCCCCAATGAGTTACTCCTGTATGTTATAGGAGTACATCTACGCAACTTGAACATAAATGACAATTTCCGTTAATGTTTAGTAAATATCTGCATGGAATTATTTTTGAGATCTTGAACAATTTAAATAATGATTCCCATTACACACGAAAGTCATAAAGTGATGTGTTTAAAGATTAAATCCATCAATTTATTTGTAGGTTGACCATGCTCAAGTTCCATTTATGTCAGATGAATCTTAAGAGTGTGTTTGAATAACAAATCATTTGGGATAATTTTTTTTAAACTATTGTAGCGCTTTTTCTTGTAATGTATGTAAGATAAAATGGTAATTGAAAAATGTGTTGATGATAGAAACAAATAAAATTTGATGAATAATCACTATCCAAACAAATAAAATTGTAGGGTTTTACCATGAAATGTTTTTCAATATTAGGCTTCTTTATTGTTTCGTTAGGTGATTGACTAATTACTTTTTTTTTCTCTTTTTTTTTTTTGAAGCAAAATAGGAGCACCTGAAATACCCATCATTTACAAGAAAGATGTAGGTACGCTTCTCAAATTTAGATGGAATTTTAGAGCAGTCTGTTTAAGCTTTTAGGAAGATTGATATATTGACTAACTGCAGCGAAATGAGGGTTCACTATCATTTTTCACATGAAATTGGCAATTAATCTCACCTCCAACTAAATGAAATACACTTCTTTTGTTGCTTTTACGTTGATATTATCCTCTATTACCAAAATTATACACTTCTTTTTTTGGTACAAACGAAAATATACACTTATTTTGAGGTTTTTAAAAGCATTGGCATTGAATAGCCAAGATATTTCTGAATAGTCACAAAAAGAATAGTCACAAAAATTATCCACTTCTTTTTCTGGTACAAACGAAAATATGCACTTATTTTGAAGTTTTTAAAGCATTGAAATTGAACAATGTAGCCAAGATATTACTGAATAGTCACAAAAAGAAGACAACCGTATTTCTATCAGCTAGCACATGTGCTGAAAGATAATTTTTCCCTATCAACTTTTGCAACGAAAACATCAAAGGGGAAAGCAAGCAAGGTAAGAATATCTTGCAATTCGCACCGGCTTCACTTCGAGACACTCTTCTTCAAATCCTTAAGGTGCAAGATGAGCAGCAAGGCTTTTCAATCCCCAAATACACATTTGTAGTCAGTACAAGGCAAGAAGAGGCATTTTTTCCGTTTTGACTACATAACTTAGATGTTTGTTGTTCATCACCATCTAACTTCTCGAGAAACACAGCAACCGTCACCATTTCCAGTTCTATCTCTTATTAATCGGACAAGAATTCAAGGTTCAAAAGGAACTTATAGTTGCAGTTAAAGAAAATGCCTCCTGAAGTTTCAGTTACTTCAAGGGCCATTCTACTAAATCAAGTAAAATACCAATTACAAAAGATCCCAATGGATATTCACACGAGTTCTGACATGCCAGGTAACATGCAGTCTTTCCTAACCAGCTAACTTGACAATACATGACGGGCCAAATTACTATCCATCCCTCAAGCTTAACTAAATTCAGAGGAGTCTCATATTTCAACAACTATGATTTTCAGGCATTTTTCCCCTGAAACCCTCCCTGGTTTGGTTGATAACCACCCTCACCACCCTGAGGTACATTCTGGCCATTCATTGGTGTTGGCTGCTGCGGCGCTGCTTGCTGATTTGGAGACCAGGTCTCTCTTCGAATAGGCTCTCTCCTTTCAACCTGCATTGTCTCGCGTCGTCTATCATACCGTGGACGAGGCCTGTTCCTGGTTTGTTGCCTCTCATTGAATCTATATTGTGGCCGAGGAATAACCTTTCCATCAACAAAAAGATCCCCTATAACAAATCCAAAAACAGCACCAAGAAATGTTTGATTACCATGAAAAAGTAATAGAGGAAATGTAAGGACATAAAACATTTAAATTTCCACTCTGCTAACCTCCATAGTCCTTGTTGGGAACATCAAGATAGGAATCAGGCAAAACCCACAGAACATCTGGTAAACCTATTTCAAGACACGCAACGTGGAATTAGTCCAAAAAAACCTCAAAAGTAATCTAGAACAAGCTATTTTTTGTCCAATCTCAAATTAATTACTTTAGCAAAAATAAATCAAAAGTTTGATTAAGCCAGGAACATTAGCAAATAACATGTTCAGATAGTCAGGAGATATAAACAAAAAATAACTGTTCCGGCCAACAGTTTCCAAAGAATGTAGAACATTGAACACAATTCCCATAAGTGTACATTCAATTGAATATCTCAAACAATGACTCTACAATTACGACTGTAAACAAATGATAAGCATATACTAGACCTTTTAAAACCCATCAAGATCCTGATACTGCAGGAATAGGTTGGAAAAATAGAATACATATCACAATGTGACATCCCTTGCTTCTTCAATTTTCTTCTGTACAGAAGTTGCCATATGATTGTTTTGAATTTTATTGCTACAGAAGATGATGTTTTTCCTTCACCTAATTCAGACTATTAGAACAAAGCAAACTCTGATCCTCCAAAAGGGGAAAGATCAAGAACAAAGTAAACTTCACCCAAACCCGAAAAAATAAACACAAAAAGACATAGCAAGTCATAAAATAACTATGACACTTTATTGATATCAAAATCTCTCCAATTACCATGGGGCATTGATTACCTTTAACTTTGTATGAGAGCTCCTCAGATATCAAAGCACCAAATCCAGTGTATGTTGTTGTGCAAACAGAGTAAATTTTCTTCTTTGCCTCCTCTTCACTGCATAATAAACAAACAAGACCCGACACAATCTCAGATTAACAACTGTATGTTGAACCTTTAGATAAACTATGGCTATTAAGCAACTAGGGGAAACATTTCCAAAACCAATGGCCCAAACCTAGTGCCAAGCAGCACACAGTTACGTACATGAAGTTCTCACAAACAACTTATTGACACTGATGATTAGTTCCATTTACTATATTTTCAGGCAGATAACATTACAGTATGCTGAAATGCCAATTCATCAAAATGCCATCTAACCATCCTATACCGAAAAACATGCATTCAATCTGAAAATTGTACATGCACTAGTAGATGTCGATGACAGAGTGGAAAAGTATAGCAACATTCATACTGGAAACAGGTAAAACTAAATGCCAGAAACGTATGATAAGAAACTGCATTGAGTACATGAATTCCTCTTTTTTGCCACACTTTCCAGTACAAAAAACATGCAGAGGAAACTTAAGTAAACAGGTTAAAGAATCATACTTTATACAAAGATTTTCCAACAATATCAATGCCATGCAATCATAAATATTTCCTAGTTTGGGTTTTGCATCTCAAGGATAATCCCTTGAGCAAAGCACACATAATGTTTGTTTAAAAAAATTACAAGCTGAATTAAAAGATCCCCTTTTTTCTTTTTTTTTGGTTCTGCCTTTCTCTTGTCAGCGATTTATCATCAAGCAATTAGTTAAAAACACATAAACTAACAACAAGTACATCAATTAAGTTCAAGGGCATTATGCCTTAAAAAATCTTGGAATTTCGTCATAAGCTAAACTATTTTTTTTTTTCATTTTTCTTTCCAAAAAATTAATTACTACGCCACGGTTCAAATCTAGTAAAACATAAATAATTGGATAAAAACGATAATCATGTCAAGAATCTAAGCAACATGTGGTTACACACCGAGAAAAAGTAATTGTACCTTCCAACAACAGAGGCTAGGGTTTTAACATAAGTGTTAACCATTTCTTCATCCGAGGGTTTGGGGTCATTTGGGAACTCCATAACGATAAGCCAGTGTTCATAGTCGCAACCGTCGAGGAGTATCGTCTCCTTCGGCGGTCGGTTGCTCCAGTTGGGTGACGGGTCATTTAGGGGAGAGTAGCCCGACCCAGATGTTCTGTTCCGGGTTAGGATGTTATACGGGATCGGGGCCGCCTCTGGGGTTTCGTTATGGAGATTGAGGAGAGGGACAGTGAGGCGGGCACGAGAAGGAGATGATACGGTGCGGCTGAAAAGGGTGGCTAATGTGCGCCGGGCGGCGAATAGCGCCATGGGTGCTGCTGCTTCTGGCTACAGAGCATTGACGAGATGGTTGGGCTGTTTTATTCATCTACTCATGGGAGAAATTGCACTTTGGCCCTTCATGTTTGGATTTGTTCTTTTTCTGCTATTTTCTTTACTCATTCTTGATACTACTTCAAGAATTGAATTTAAACAAGTCGAACGCTTTCGTGTATAATCAATAATTAATTTCTTACTTAGCTTGACAATCAATGATTAGTTCTTTTATTTTGTTTTGATGAGGGAGGTAAATGAGTTGTATATACTGAACACTAACCAATCGTTTATAAGCACAGTTTCACTGAGTAAGTTTGACTTAAAAATATTGGGGAGTTTGGATAAAGAATACAAGGCCTTGTTTGGATTGCTGTTTTTCATCGAAAAATTACGTCGTTTTTCGTAATCACATTTCCCTGTTACCTTTTTCCTTCACATACATCAAATCGCTACAGTAATTTTTTCATGAAAAATCATGAAAAATGCAATCCAAACACAAATCCATTAATGTGCAGTAGATAGCAAATTCAGCTCAATCTCAAAATTAATCCAAGTTTATTTGGACCAATCCATTAAACCATGTTGGTTTTAATTTGCCTATTCTTTGTCCACATAATTTGCATGGAAATGAGGGACATAATTTTTTCCTTCTTTTTTGGTCTCTCTATATATGTAATTTGTCAACAATGAGAGGCAACAGATCGAAAAGGGTATTTTGAGCGAATGTACAAATTTAAATGAGGGGCAGCATGCTGTTTCCGGGCAGCGATTGCATCTAAAATTAGGGTCTGTTTGGATTGGACTTTATATTTGGAATAATTATTATAGCACGTTTTGTGACGTAAATATAATATATGTGAGATAAAAAA